ATGAGGGGCTGACAATGAGAATCCTGCCTAGCCCACCTCACCACGGTCTTCCAGATAAATAGGTGGCCCCAGGCAAATCCCAAGGCTTCTTTCAGCCTGTTACCCCCTTTAAATTTGAGATGGACGGGACCACTGGTGTTCAAGCATTTTTTTAAAGCAACTGAACTCTATCTTAATTAGAAGATCAGTTGTCGAAAATAATTAAAATGGAGGTCTGCTGGTTCCAGCAGCACCGCGTGGCTCCATGGGGCACTAGTGTGAAAAACCACAGGGATGATATCACTGCTAAAAAACCTTCCAACTTCAGGTTTCCAAGGTTCTGTTTGCCACAGTCTGTCTTGTTCACCTGTCTTTAAAGCACTCAACACACAGTTATTAATAAATTGGAAACTGAGGCAAAATACTGAGAGGCTTTTTGCACTTGAATTCCCTGGGGTTCCCTGAAAGCCCTGAAACACCTTCTCAGAGTAAATTAACATCACCTGTAAGTCGTGTGGCTGCCCCTATATGGTCAAGGCAAAGGAACCTTGGTTTGCAGAGAGGAATTGGTGATAAATTTTCTGGCAGTCCACAGAAAATGAGAAAGCCAAGGACAGTATAGTTCAAAGGTTTTAAAAGCCCAATGTGGGCAGATTTTAAATTCTGAAGTTATTCTTTCTTATATTAAAATTGTCCTCTTTGTATGAAATGATAGTAGATCGTAGTTTTTAGTCTTTTTCATTGTCCTTACCTGATATAAAAGTTGATAACCATGTCAGTTCCCAAAAGTTTTACTTGACATTTACTAGTCTATAAAATCCCTAAGAATGGAATCGCTGCCTGCCTCAAAGTTCACGAATGGCTCCCTCCATGGCCACTAGGTCATAAATCCAGTTAACAGTGGGTCTAGGACCCACCAAGGATGTCATTGAACCTATATGATCCTGTAAGATGGATCTGCCTTCACAGAGCCCAGAGTGCAGAGCACGTTAACGCCTCACCTAATTCTCGTTGGGTCGTCATCGATGTAATCTTGTTCCCCAGTTCCATCCCCACCTGCTCTCGCAAAGCATCCTCCACCTAAGTGCTTCTGGGAGTGTTAAAGGGAAGACTCGTAAGTTCAGGAACACCTCTTGTCACTGGCGACACCGCATTTGCCTTGGGTGACAGCCTTGCGTGCTACCCCCCCTACACACACACCCCCACTCAGTGCTGGCTCCACGTGGTGTTTGTGGCAGGTGGGGGGAATATCACACTTTCTCTGTTAATGGGCAACCACAGGAGGGCTGTCTTGCCTCACAAGGTCTTACAGAGTTTTAAATGAAAACAGCCTTTTGGGGAAAGACTCAGACTGACCCTCCCTCTGGAGGGAAGCCCTGAAGTGGCAAGTCAGAACCACCTGCAGAGGCTTTCAGGAGGTCGAGGGGTCAGCACAAGCACCTATTTTTATAAGTTTCACACTATGATATGATGTGCTAATATTTTGTCTTGAGACCGTCGCTGGGCAGGACACTCTCTCCACGTCAGTGAGCCCCTTCGCCTGTGGGCAAGCTCATCCTGGAGCCCCAAAGTTGTCGTTAGCATTATGTTTCAACTTGGTCAATATGTACTTTATTTGCTTTGCTACAGGTTAACAAATGGCACTGGTTATATTTATCCCCTAAATTTCCACATTTAGTCTTAATTATATGAGTAGGATGCCTTTCTGTCACTGACACAGATAATGCCCAAGTGACTCTTGGGTTTGTACTGCTCTCTGTCATGGTTAAGAACCAAGAATGCCTCTTTTGGGGCACCTGGGTGGCCCAGTCTTTTAAGTGTCTGATTTCGGTTCAGGTCATGATCTCAGGGTCCTGGCATCCAGCCTGGGGCAGAGCTCTGTGCTCAGCAGGGAGTCTGCTTCCCTCTCTCTTCCTCTCCCTCACCCTCTGCTCCTCCCCTGCCCCATGCTTGCTTGCACTCTCTCTCAAGTAAATAAAATATTTTTTAAAACTCTTTAAAAAAAAAGAATGCCTTTTTCTACAGATGTCTTTTTGGTTAGCTAAATGAGCCCCCTCCGTCTTGTTGAAAGAAATCACTGTAACTCACTTTATATTGTTTTAGCTTATGTAAACAAGGGGGAAAGTGTGCATCTCTGAATGTCTTATGTGTCTCTAAGGAAATTCTAGTGAGTCATCTTGTCAAGTTAAAATATGAATTAGTCCCCCCTCACCCCACATATATCTCTTAACTTTGATTTTTTCACTTTTTTGTAAAGTGAGACATGCTTCTAGACTGAAAGACTTCAAAAGAAGGCTCATAGTAGCTAATGCATGTATTTTTTACCTTCCTAAAACTATTATAAAAGCATTGATAAGAACCAGAAGAGATTGTAATTTTTCGAAACATAAATGCCAGCATGAGCTCCATGAGAACTGATTTCACATGCTCAGATTACGCCCGCTCTGCCACCTGCCCCCCCCAGCCACCCGCTTAGTGCCTTCCCTGTGCTGCCAACAGCCGACTCCTCTCTCTGCCCAGCCAGGACTCACTGCCCTCTCTGCCACTGCCTTCAGGAGCCTCCCTTCAGCGCTGCCTGGCAGAGCCCCAAGTTCCTTTCAGGGCAGTCCCTGACTCTCAAGTCCACCCCCTCTGCCCAAGCATCCTGCTCACCAGTGTCCTGGAGCCCTCAGGGCCGTGTCCAGCCACATCACAGCTTCCCCCACTCAGCTTTCCCTGCTCTCCCCAAACACCTCGTCCTACTCAGACCTCTTCAACTACCTGATTCCCCCAACCTCCCCCTCCACAAGGGGGGGGGGGACAGGCATCAGCAAAGCTGAGCAGGCTGAGTGATGTGGGAGGAGCGCTGAATGTCATACCTGGGACCCTCCTGAAGCCAGAGCACCAGGCAAGTCATCTGGCGGGGTGGGGGGGGTGGGCAGCAATTCACTGACCTGCCAGGAGAAGGCAAACCCAGCTAGTCTGTGGAGCTCCGGCCAGGGTGCCATCACGCACCCCCTGACATGGCCCAGAGCAGCCACATTGCCCTGAAAGGCGCAACAGCTCTTCAAAGACAGCTTAGGGCACAGCAGTGTGCTCAGGCATGTTGGGGTGGACGAGAGGATCTCAGGGAGCTTCAAGTGTCCCCTAGGAGGGTGTGAGTGAGAGGACAGGACACCACCAAGGAATCCAAGGACAAAATGTGTGCTGAGCGGTGGAAACAGGATGGCTTCCAGAGTCCAAAAGCGAAGAAACATGCTTTGGGATGAGTGATCAGGAAAGGCCACCCCAAATTCTGGGGATGGGGCCAGGCCTGAAAGAATGGGAAGGCCAGAACAACACTTCCTCCAGTCTCCCTCAGCCTTTAAAACCCCAAATGACAAGGAATGTGGGCCTTGTAGAGAAGTTTGAGTTTGGGACCGGCCAAATACAAAAAACGCTTCTGACAATTACTCTAACCTCCAAGATACACAAAGGCGGCGGGACACCTAAGTGCCAAAGGAGAGCGAGACAGTCAGGCGGAGTTACTGCAAGTCGGGAGCCCGGCCCCGGGGCACCGCCGGAGTCGGGGCAAGGACAGGCTGTTTGGCCTTGCCCCGCGCGCGTGTGACGACGGGGCGCTGTCGGGCCCGGGGCCCGCGCTGGGCCGCCGCCCTGCCCGCGGGACCGGGCCCCAGGCGCCGAGCGTGCGCTCGCCTCTGCCCGCTCGGCCTGCGCCGCCGTCCGGGAAGCCGCCTCCCCCTCCCGCCCCGCAGGCAAATATTAGAGGGTGCAGGTGGGTAGAAATGGCTTCAAATAAAGTTCGTCTGCAGTTTCCAGGAGGCCACCGCGGCCGCTGAGACCGTCATTGGCAACCCCGGCGGCTGCGGGGGCCACCACCCCCGAGCCCGGGATTCGCCGCCCCCAGGCCGAGGAGGCCATCTGCTCCTCCGACTCAGGTTCATTTTCTCCCGGGGGCGGGGGGGCGGAGAGAAAGAAGCGAATTACGTTACGCTCCGGCTGTAGTGATGGAAAACACGAAAGCCGACTCCAAGGGCTTGCGCCTCGAGGGCGCGTTATCTGCCATTGGCCACAAACCTCAGGAAAGTCCCATGTCCTTGCGTTCGCAGGAAGCCCTGGGTGGCCGGCTGCCGCTCGCGCCCGCGCCCGGGGGCTTGTCCACCGCGAAACGCGAGGCCAGGAGGAGGGGCAGCACTTGGTGGGGTCCTGCCTCCCGTTGAGTTGGGGAGGGCGTGCGGCGCGTGAAAATCCCCAACCCGCGCCCCTCCCCGCCCCCAGTCCGGGGATTGAGGCCGGAGTTGGGACCCCGCCGGGGGCAGGCGGGATCGGGAGCGGGAAGGGATCCTAAACTGGCCGGGGGGCGGGGAGGGGAGGAAGGGATCCCTGGTTTGCGGGGGGCGGGGGCGATCCCGGACAGGCGGTGGGCACGAGTTCCTCCGGGCGCACCCGCCCCAGTTAGCGGCGCACAGCGGCCGGTCGCCCCCGCGCGCCGACCCCTGGGGCTCCCGCCGGGTTAGAATTCAGCGGGGGATGAAAGGGTCCCGTCCCCCGCCGCCCGCGCCGGTCCCGGTCCCGCCCTGGCCGCGGGAGGCGCGCGGCCGCCGGGCGTGAACGGCGGCGGTTTCTGCGGTCTGGCCGGCGGCCCGCTGGAAAACCAGCCTCAACTTGATCCCGAGCGCGTCTCACTGAGGTCATGGGAAGCGGGAGGGCGGAGGCGCCAGGGGCCGGGCGGAATGGGAGCTCTGAGGCGGCGAGGGGCGGAGGGAGGGAGGAGGGGAGCCGGCCGGTCCCCGGCGCGGGGTCGCCGAGTGCCCCGGCGGCTCCTCCAGGCCGGCCCGACCGCCGCGCAGCCGACGGTGCGAGGGGGAAATCGGGCTTCGCGCCTCCGCACGCTGCACCGAGACCAGCGCCAGCTGCACCCCCCGCCCCCCCCCGCGCAGAAATCCTCCCCCTCCAGCCCGAGCCCCACCCCTGCGCTCACAGCCGCCTCTGGGCCCGCTGCTTCCGCCTCCCGTCCCACGGCGCGCGTCCCCAGCCCCCACCTCTGAGATCGTCCCTGCAGCCGGCTCTCTACCTTCCACCTTCCTCCAGCCATCAAGGCCGGTGCCCTCGGCCAAGGGTCCGTTCCCAGCCTGTTATCAAGTCCTGGAGAGAATTTCTCCAAAATATTTCCCGAATCCCACTGCCAAGGGCCCGAGTTCCCGCCCCTCCACCTCCCATCTGGATGCCGCACAGACTTCTCCCTGGATTTCTAGGCTTTAGCCTCCTCCCTTCCTAATCTATTTTCCACACCAATTTCCCCCAAAGCGTGTTAAAGCACACAGGGACCTCGGTGGTTGTAAACCTCCTATTTCCCCTGTTAAGCAGGTTAAGGGTGGTTCAGCTGGGGAATAAAAACTGAAGGCTTTGGCGCACGTTTGTTGAGCACTTACTATACGTCATTGTTAAACACCTCAAGTGGATTTTCTCATTCAACTGCCCAACAGTCCTTCCGGGGAGGGATTATTAGGTATCATTATTATTATTATTATTATTATTATTATCTCTGCTTTATAGAAGAAGAAATTGAGACATAGACAAAGGGCAAACAAACTGCCCTTGGGTCTGTTTCTCCACCACTGTACTGCACTTCTGCAGAGAACCTTGACCTTCCTAACAGGGATGGAATGACCCACAGCACCAGCTGTGGCCTGGGGGCCAGGTGGCAGCAACCATCTGTTAGTAGCAGTTCCAAGTGGATGGGTGGGTGGATGTCAGGCCAGGTTTGATCTGGAATGTCTCAGAGGCCCCGTTGCTCTTCACCTGCCTTTAATGGATTAGCGGTCTGAATTTCTGGGCATGGACAAGTTAGAACAGTCTCCACATTGATCTCCTCCTGTGCTCTCCTGACAAATTTCTCTACTCTCCTCAGTCAGCTCCTCTTGCTTGGCAGCATGCTGGAGACACCAGAGGTGTCCTACCCACAAGGAGGACTTATGACAGTGTCCTCATTCTCCCACAAACATAGGCCCCTCAGAGCCCTCCACACCACTAGTGTCTTCCCATCTCCAACCCCGGCGGAGCATCAGCTTCTGGCCATAGATGAGGCCCAGCTGGGCTGCCTTTGTCCTGGGAGGGGGTGGGATTTTGATCACTAATTAGTGGCTGGGAGACCAGGAGTCAGCAGTGGTCCCCTTTCCAGGACCTATAAATGATACTGATGTGGGAAACAAAGGCAAAAGAAAAAATTAAATTTCCTTACTGCCTACAGCCCACTGACAGGCAAGTCCTTGGACCAGGCCGACTGACATTCTTCTAGGAACTCAGCTGCCCTGATGTTAATGCTTTGCTAAGGGCAAAAGGCAATCTTAGCTAAACATTATCCTGACTAACACCGCCCCCCCCCGCCCCCGCCCAGGATCCTGTATGTTTACTTTAACATATAAAAATTCCTTTGGAAACTTCCTTTATCTCTACTCCCCAAGATATATGTTAGCAATCATCCTCCAAGCATATGACCCACTGGTATACATCTGAAGGGTCTCATGACTGAGTTTTTACTAAACAGTAATAAATGACCTTTTCCTAACAACAGCCAGCCCCCTCAGGATCCTGGAAACCTTGTTTCCAAAATACCTGTCCCTAACCCCCTCCCAACTTGAATGTATATAACAGCCACTCCTCATGATCCTGGTGCCACTCTTTCTGCCCACGGGTCTTGTCCCTGTGCTTTCATAAAACCACCTTTTTGCACCGAAGACATCTCAAAAATTCTTTCTTGGCCCTTGCCTCCAAACCCCAACACTTCAAACCACATCAATACCACAAGGGTCCATGCCCCCATTTCCTGCCTGGGAATTAGGGTGATTCCTCCCTACCCCTCCTTCCATGATCTGGACAAGATGGGCAGAGGCTCCCAGACAGCAGGGAACTGAGACCATGTGATTAGGGTTTGCTCTAGTGAATCCCTGTTTTTTTATTTCTGTGAACGCACCTGTTACATAATACTTATGCTGTCCTTTTCTTCCTGGAATACATACCCTACCAGAGGCTTTATTGCTTTTTTATAGGATTTTTAATTAATTTTTTGGTAGATCCATAAAATGAAATTCAAAGGGTACAAAAGAGCATACAGTTTGCCTACTTCTCACCCAGGGGCAAGCTCTTCCATCCCTCACTGTTAGCAGCTTCCTGTGCATCTTTCTCAGAAATAGTCCACACATTTATAAACATGCGTCATTTCTTTTAACTGTGTTTTTGATGTCTTTTGTATTAACACCTAAAAAGTATACTTTTATGCTTTGAAAAAAAAATCAGCAGTTTCAGAATGGAGCACTGAGATTCTCAATTTGGAGCCTAGCCCCCTTCTCAGTCGGATGGGGCCGCGGCAGGAATGCGGAGGCCTCCACCTCCCATGGAGACAAAAGATTTTCCCAGTCTCCTCTGGGTCCAGCACAAGTACAGGAGGATGTGCAACCTACAAGATTTGGTAAGACTTAAAAGAATCAAGAGAGGAGGGTTGCTGGGTGCTGGAATCTAAGACCCCCTGGATGTCCATCAGTTGAAACAGTGACCAGAGATCCTAACCAAACAAGGCTGGGATGAATTTTTCCGTGTTTCTGGTGCGGGGTGTTTTAGGAGCAGCATTCGTCTACAAAGATGTCGAAATCTCAGGTGTCCTTAGTAACTTTACGTCTTTTTTTTTTTTAATTTTTTTATTCTTATGTTAATCACCATATATTACATCATTAGTTTTTGATGTAGTGTTCCATGATTCATTGTTTGCATATAACACGCAGTGCTCCATGCAGAACGTGCCCTCTTTAATACCCATTACCAGGCTGACCCATCCTCCCACCCCCCTCCCCTCTAGAACCCTGTTTGTTTTTCAGAGTCCATTATCTCTCATGGTTCATCTCCCCCTCTGATTCCCCCCCTTTATTCTTCCCCTCCTGCTACATTCTTCTTTTTTTTTTTTCTTAACATATATTGCATTATTTGTTTCAGAGGTACAGATCTGTGATTCAACAGCCTTGCACAATTCACAGCCCTCACCATAGTACATACCCTCCCCAGCGTCCATCACCCAGTCACCCCATCCCCCCATCCCACCCCCCACTTCAGCAACCCTCAGTTTGTTTCCTGAGATTAAGAATTCCTCATATCAGTGAGGTCATATGATACATGTCTTTCTCTG